CTCCGCCCGGCCACTCACGGGTAGGCATGGTGACCCCGAGCCGCGCTCGCCGCCGCGGAGGCTCAGCGGGGCCGCGCAGGCCGCGCCGACCGCACCATGACACGCCGGCGCCGGGCCCGGAGGCTGGGACGAGGCGAAGGGCGAAGGGCGGAGAGAATGGACGCGAACCCCGCGGCTCACGCAACCAAGCTGGAGACAGCTGCCAGGGTCGGCCCAGCTCCGCGCCGGACGACGCGTTGGGCGTCCCCACGCCGTGACGTCAACACGTCGCCGACGTCCGTGCCCCGCCCCCACCAGTGGCGGAGCTCCGCCCAGGAGCCTGAGCCGCGGGGCTCGGAGGGGCTGGGGCGGAGGGACTGCGGGAGGGCAGCGTCTAAAACAACTTCGGGCTTCGTTTTGTTATGAAACCCTAGTGATCTGAATAATATTTGATTTTATTAATCATTATTCGAAATGCATTAGCAATATTTGTGTCTTACATTTGCACCACTTTATGAGTATGAGCATGACTGCTTTCAGTGCACTGAGGACCTACCTGTAGGCTTTTTCTTTTTATGAGCTATTGAGACGGGCTGAGGTCATTTGGGGTGATGGCTGCGAATTTTTGTAGAGGACAAAGTGTCATTTCCTCTTGATTTACTGGTGACTTTCAAAGAGATTTTACACCTCGGGAGTTAAGTTTCTTCCAGAGAGCGCCCTCCACTTGGCTGAGCCATTTTTCTCGGCCGAGTGTCATTAATAATTGATGTATCTAATAGTCACCCAGCTAAGCGGACATTTGGAGGCTAGAGCATTTGGCAACTCACATGCACTTTGCTAGGCACTGTGGGCTGTGGACAGCTCGTACCGAGAAATAGAAGGAAGCCACGGACGTCTGAAACTGTTTCTCGAACTACCTCAGGATCCTTTTGTGCCTGAATTACCTGGGAACCTGTTAAAAAGCAGATGGGCCAGGTCCTGAGCTAAACCTACTGAATCACACTTGATGACTCAAATAAGTATTTAAATTTGAGCACCTTTGTCCTAGAAAGTAGTACTCACATTCTGATTAAAAAATATACTGTGAATTACTGAACGGGGAAGAGAAAGAAGATGAAGGTAAGAGCCAGGAAGAGCTTGGGGAAAATTCACTTCTTAAGGTGTACTTGGAAGAAAGAATTTGAATTAGCAAAGTCCTAGGGAGCCCTTAAAGGAGGCAGGTGGAGGGTGGAGGGTAAGTTAGTCACAGAAGCTGGTGTGAGTGAGTGTCTCTTGCTGGTGGTAAAGTAGTTGGCCAACACTTACTCTCTAACACACTGTTGCATATTTTTATTATCTATAAAATATTTACAACTCCCAGTTTTCTCCTCAAGACTTCCAAATTGCCTCTACTGTAGCACTTTTCCCTTTGAATCTTAATTAAACTGCCCCGAGTATTTGTAATCCACCACTGGACTATACACTTTCCAGAAAGCCATTTTCTGTTCATGTTTATGTATCTCTGTTTGGCCTATAGTAAGGGACTAGGGCATTTTAATTTAATAACTATATAAATATAAGTGCATATTTATTCAATGAATAGGAAAACAAAACAGGTAACATATAAATAATTAACAACTTCACATACAAGCTTGGAATTAGTTTTTTAAGAAACCATTCCAGGTTCTCTATCAGGACAGTTAGCATTAAATTATCAGAAGCAGGACTCTGCAGAGTGGACAGTGTGGCAGAGAAACCAAGGAGGGGAGGCCTCAATACTGCTACAGAGGGGAGTGTTAGTGCCTAGTCTTGAGGGTGGCTGTAGAAAAGCGAAGAGCTAAATCTTACTGCAGAAGAAGAATCAGTGAGGTTTGTAGCCTGCTGACTTGGGAGCAAAAACATGGCATCTGTTAGTTATGTAACTCAAGGTCGGCATAAGGAAACCGATGGGGAGAGCAACAGACAAGTTGGAAAGAACGCTGTTTTAGAAGGGAGTGTGATGTGTTTTAGGAGGGAGGAAGTCTTCGACATATTAAGCGTAGGGTGACACCCAAGGGTGACATCTGAGTGAATAGATCCAAAGACAGCTGGGCATATCAGGCTGAAGGCAGGCAGGGGGAACTCAAGGTGAAAGATTTGGGAATCTTTGGCAGAGGAACAGAAGCTGAAGCCAGGAGTCAGAGAAAGCCTGCAGGGAGAGGGTGTGGAGCCAAAGAAATAGAAATAGTTCCAGAGGGCTTAGTGCCCCAGAAGCCAAGAGAAGAAATGACTTTAGTCAAAAAGATGCAAATTCCAAAGAGCCCACAATAGTTTGGTCTATAATAAGTTTGGTTCTTCATCCTCCCCTTCTTTCTTTTCTCCTCCACCTCCCCTCACCTCCCGCTTCCTCTCCCTCTTTCTCTCCCTCCACACCTTCTTCTGTATTTTATCTAAGAATGTTTGCCTGTCCTGTACCACTCCCTCTGTCCCCTCTTGCAAATACCCTTCCCATCGCCTCTATACTAGTGTTCCTCTCTTGAAGTCCAATTTAGACTGGTAGGAATTGGGCTTTATCCATCTCTGTCAGTCCCCACACTGCCCAGCCCTTGTCCTTGTACACTGTGTGTGGCCACACAGAGATGGGCCACTAGATCCCTTTTCCAAAAAGGATGACTGCCTGAAAATATTGATTAAAATGTTATTAGATCATTGTCAACATCCTATTAGACTTAGAGCATTATTAGCTTTTATCCCAAATTGCCCCAAAAAGCTCTGCTTCCAGTTAAGTCTAATATTTGTTCCAATTTCTAAGTCAGGCACTGAGAAGATTCACTTTAAATTATCACACATTTAATTGTTTAAAGGTAATTGCCAGCAAACTTACAGTTGATAAGAAATAATTGTAAGAATATTTACTTCTCCAAAAGTTTATTCCCAAAAAGTCATAATAACGCGATTTGATGCTCTTATTGCTTAGTTTTCTTTCCCACTAAGTATTTATATCTGTAATAGGCCTTTCTTATGTCATTTCATTCCATCTTATTTCTGCCATTGGTTAATAGTGACTTGGGGTTTTCCGGTTCTTCTGAGGCATAAAAAAAAGCACAGACTTTGGACTTAGAAAACCTGCGTTTGAATCCTGCTTTCTCCCTTACCTGGCCTCTTGACAATCTTTGACCTCTCTGGACTTAATTTTCCTCAGTTTCAAAATCGAGAAACCTCTCCTTGTGTTGTGACGTTTTCCGAGTCGCCTCAAGGCAACTCTCAAGATTCTAATGTAATTTGGTCTCAATGTGACCTGGGCCTTGGACTTGCTTTAAAAGTTCCTCGGCTGTTTCTCTGTGCGGCCAAGGTCAAGCTTCATTGCTTTAGGAAAGCGGTGAAGCAGAAAGAGGCTCTAGTTCAGAGTCTCATATGCCTCATTATGCTATTTCTGTTGCCAGTTCAACTCCTGTATTTTGACATCACTGCACTCTGAATTCCACAGTAATTTTTTCACGCACACACCAGCCAGAGTAGTTAGAAACACTCATGAGAACAAATTAAAAGAATAGGCCCTCTGATCCAGAAGGTCATTACCCAACCCTTTTTGTGCCAACTAGGACGCTGCACAAGGCACACGTTCCTTATCACCCTGCGAGCCAAATATCACCGTCATCCATGGTTTATAAAGAAAATTACAAATGGATAGGGAGCAAAATCCTGAGATTATAAGGTTAAATGTTCTTGATTGAATCAGACAAAACAGCAGGAAACTCTTCTTTAGAAACACTATCATTTTAAACAATTAAAGGAAAGCACGATCTCTCATTGTTATTTACTAAAACGCTAGCTGGCTTTAGCATCTATCTCAGGGGGTAGTAGAGCTGCTAACGGGAGAGAAAAACTCCTTTAAATATACTGGCATTCTAGGTAGTGAGGTCCTTTACAAGTCTTTTATGACAGGTGGAATCAAATCTTATTTATTGCATTATACCCTGTTCATGGAACACATTAGGTGCTTAGTAAACCTTTGCGGAAGATAGGGAGAGAGGAAGACAGGGAGGGAGAGGAAATTAACGTGTTGGAAGAGGCTTTAGGTGGTAGATTGGAAAAACGGCCTTGATTTCTCTCCCTGGCCATATACACATTCTTGCAGTTGACGTTACGACTCCTGAAAGAGATACAAGCTTTCTCCATTCCTAAACCTGGGCTGGCCTTGTGATTGGCTTTGACTGCTGGGATGGTGACAAATATTATGCAAGCAGAGACATAGGAAATGTGAAGAAGCCTGGAGAGAGAGTCTCATCATCCCAATCATCTCAGATAAGCCAGCCCAGCTGACCCATCAGCTCTGCAAATATTCAAGAATGAGTCTAGCCAAGAACAGCATGAAAACCCAGCTGAGAGCCACCCAGATTGTCAACACACAGGAGTCTCTGTGTGGGCAGTTCAACACCTCTCGAAAGGGACGCTGGGGACACCATATCCTAGATCAGCATAGCTCTTTCATCCAGAATTTGAGTTGGAGATACAGAAAAAGCCAAAAGTTGGAGCAGAAATTAATAGCCTATGTGAAGTATGACAGAAATGTAAGGGAAGGCACGTGTATTAAAGTTTAGAACTGAGTAACATCCCCCCTCTTTTACTGTACCCTCAATCCTGCCAGCTTTGTGGTGGTTATGACGAGGAGTCATGAACAAGAACCTTTCAAAGAGGAAAGTGAATTTCAGGGGGACAAAGGTGGGGGCTTCTGGAGCCAGCTTCCCTTTCCTGGTGAAGCCTCCCCTGCCCCGCCAATTTTCAATCTCAGAGGATTTGGAATTTGCTTGTTTAAGGAAGAAGGCAATCTTACTAATTTACAGAGGTCTTCAATGGGGAAAGAGAAAAGTTCTTGAGTTTGGTGATAAATGATAACTAGCAATAGTAGAGAGAGTATGTTTCACTGAGTATGTATTTTATAAAGAAATGAAGAAGAAACAAACTGAGAAGGAGCGATGGTTATAAGAATAGACATTTAGGCGTAAAATGAGGAGGAATCTACTCTCCCAAAGAAGGGATTAGTTGGCCAAAGGAAAACCCAGTGATTCATGAAATATGGCAAATAGAATTCCCCACGTTGCTATTAAACTTAGTTTCAGACTAATTGTCTAAAACCACCGTGAAGTTTGTACACTTTTAAACGGTGCCAGAACGAGTAAGCTTGATGCATGTAGAGTTCTGAACCATCGCATGACGCAGACCATCGCACGACTCAGGTAAACAAACAGCATGAAAATGAGGTGTGGCGGAAGAAGAGGGGGAAAACTGTCATCGACTTCTGCAGATATGACT